GCCGCCAGACGAGCCTGGCGCTGTCTTTTCTGGGTGGTGTGCAGAAGTTGGCGATGGTGCTACTGCTGCGTCTGCCATCTTGACTGTGGTGAGAACTGCAGCTAATGAAAAGGAGGAATGGCAGACACCAAGGGGGTGAACGTGCAGCCAGACGGAGAGATGGATGCCAACTGCACAGAACTTTCGAGGGCAGCCTTCGAGAACATGTTCAAAAGAAAGGAGGGATAACGTCGATAGATCTACGTTGCCACTAACAACTATCCTATAGGTACCTTACTTGCAACTGCACGCACTACGAGACTGAACATAACACAGCACCATGTACAGTAACTATACAGCAACAACCAACCGCAATGGACATTTGATCATGCCCAAAATCTGGAACAGGCCAGAAACGCAATTTCCAGTTATCCTGCACCCTAACGCATAACTGCCGAAACAGAAATTCTCCGTGCGAGTCGAGTCAGGGAACAAATTGGAAGAGAAAAAAAAAGAGAGAGAAATGCACAGACGTGGAATTGCCATGGCCGGCTAGGGATCCTGCATGCAGCATCGCAGTGTCAGTGGAGCTACTGGCCAAGGAGCCATGCCCTGCGGCCTTGTGAAAGCGGGGGAGACGGGATCGATTGGACGGTGGCCTAACGGACTGAGATCTAGTGCGTCTTGAACCCCCTGACTACCTATTATCCATGAAAAATATATTGGGGGCATGCTGTGGTGCTAGTGTATCGACGGGAAGATTGGCGCCGATTCTGGAGGGTCTTGGTGACAGATGGAATGCACCAGCACAGAGGCTCAAAGAAGTAAACAAGTCGTTGTAAGTCTAGGCCCCACCGAGGCCAGTAACCAGTAATGCCACATGGGATGGAAGCTCAACCGAACCAGAAAGTCTGCTGGATGAGAACACAAGCTTCCTTCCACTGTTTCTTCCTTTTCTTTTTTATTTTCTTTTCTGCTTTATTTCCCCTTCCTCCCCTACATAGAACCTGCAGCTTGTTGCCTCCATGTGATTCTGAGACAGAACCGGCCATGCGCCGCACATATGCATGGGCGTGTTTGGCTGCGAGTCCACCATGTGCGAGCAAATACTTTTTCTTTCCTTTTTCCTTTACGCTGTAGCACACACACAACGTGCAATTGACACTGTAGAGTCGATATGTTGCCTCTCCCACATCCCGCCATGGTGGTGCCTCTTGCGTGATTGATCTCCCCAGCTTCCACAGCCTGCCCCCGGTTCCCCCGTTGTGCCATTCTCCGCCATAATTGCTGGGAATTATTTCGCATCCCTGTCCATTGCCGGCCACCCGGATTTGCACGCCCTATTTCCCCATCAGGCAAGATAGCGTTGCAATAGGGAGCTGGTTACCTATGCTGGAGGTTTGTTCGTATCGCCGCTTATCGAGTGCGAGCGCGATGGAGCTGTGTTGCACCAGAGGGCCCCCAAGCACATCATCTCCGGGCGAGGAAATACTCGGATGCTTTATTGGGCTTCTTGCACTTGGGCAGCCACGTTGTGTAGTTTACACTGCAGTGTTATCCCTAACCACCACGTTTGGCTTGTTCCAAGGTTGAGTCTTGAAAAGGTATCGATCATCAAGTTTATCAACCAATAGCCGCAAAAAGAAAAAAAAGAAAAAAAAGAAAAAAAAGAAAAAAAGAAAAAAAAGAAAAAAAAAGAAAAACAAGATGACGCTCAACGTCATCATCGTCGGCGCTGGCATCGCAGGCCTTTCCACCGCCATATCACTCCGCCGTGCCGGGCACAAGGTCACCATCTACGAGAGGTCGGCACTCAACGACGAGGTCGGCGCGGCCATCAACGTGCCGCCCAATGCGACACGCGTGCTGCAGGCCTGGGGGCTCGACCCTGCAGCCAGTCGCTTCGTCCAAGCCCAGGGAATTATGAACGCCATCGGCACCACACTCGAGCAGGTTGCACTTGTGCCTCTGGGCGGTTGGGTCCAGGGCGTCTATGGCGCACCCTTCTATTTTGCCCATCGCGTGGACCTGCACGAGGCCCTGAAGGTTCTCGCTACAGGCACCGAGGGCCCGGGAGAGCCAGCCGCGGTAGAGCTGAGGACCCAGGCTGTCGCTTATGTGAGTTTTATGTTGCTTGGCTCATATCACTGTTTCACCCTTTATGATATGGGATGTCTGGTCCAAAAGGGGGGGGGGGGTGTTCAACCCAGTCAATACCGCTGCTCCGTCCATTCGCTTTGCTCATTTCGAGACGCGATGGTTTAACTAGAGTCAGCTGGGGTTCGTATAACATACGCTTACACATAGCAGAACCCAGAGCTGCCCTCCATAATCCTCTCCACTGGTGAGGTTGTGACGGGTGACGTAGTCGTCGCCGCAGACGGGATTCACTCCATCGGCGTCGAGGCCGTACTTGGCCAGCCGAACCCGCCACAGCCCCAGGAGCTCTACAATGGCTGCTTTCGCTTTCTCATCACCGCGGCAGACCTTGAGGCTGACCCAGAGACAAGCTGGTGGAACAAGGACGGAGAGAGAAATGGGCGTATGAGCATCTATATGAACGGAAAGACGGGCAATCGCTTTGTTTCATATCCTTGCCGGGAGTGAGTTCCCTGGTTCCCGTTTGGTCAACCGCAAGCTGACCCAGTGACAGCCACACCATCTGGAACTTTGTCGGTATATTCCACGATGAACAACTGCTATCAGCTGATACTGAGGGTAGGTCCATCCATACAACTTGCAGAACGTTCGAAAGTATAGTACTCAGCATTGAGCTAACATTGAACCAAACAAGACTGGCATGCCCCGGTCGACAAGTCACACTTGCTCAACAGCTTCCCGGATTTCCACCCTTCCATCCTAGCCGTATTGAAGTAAGCTTCCTGATCCAGACATACTTCAATGCTCCAAGTCCTCGATGTTGACACAATGCAGCAAAGCAACCGAGGTCAAGCGCTGGCCATTGCTGTACCGCTCGCCCGTGTCGAAATGGACAAATGGCAAGATGGTCATTATCGGTGATGCTGCACACCCCATGCTGCCCCGTATGGACTCCCCAGTTAATTCTAATTCATTCTAAACGAGCTATTCCACTCCCAATACAGGAATACCGCTAACAACAGTCCATCGAACACAGACCAAGGCCAAGGCGGTGCCCAGGGAATTGAAGATGGCATTGCTCTCGGCATCATCTTGAGTGGCGCTTCTGCGGACCAAGTTGAAGAGCGACTCGCCATCTTCGACAAAGTCAGACGACCACGAGCCAGCGCCATTCAGGTGTTAAGCAATGCCGGTCAGGAACAGATAGAGCTTATTCACCAGGAGGTGGAAAAGTATGTCGGATTTGTGCCAAGTAAGTGCTTCGTGTTGTTTAGTAGGAGCCTATGTCCATTCAATCAGCTAACCGGTGTACCCAACATCCCAACAGAAACACCACAGGAGTTTTCCCATTTCAACTGGGGAAACGACATTGTAGATCAGTGCGTTGAAAGCATCAAGGAATTGGATCCAGAGTTCGCGCTGCCGGCCGACTTCTTTACAAAGGACCCATATATGCCAAAGCCGCAGGGAGGGCCGCCTGGAGGACGCCCTTAAAAGACGCAGATCCTGGATAGCAGTTTGTTTGTTCGCATATGGAATACAGCACGACATCATGATGTAACCCCAAGCAACCACGGTGGTAACTTCCTCTATTCTAACCCCTGACCCCTGACCCCTGAATCTAGCAGACACCAGCGCGAAACCTTAAAATTTGTATGACGATAATCTGATCGCTCAACGTCATGGAGCACCTCATATAGATAGGAACTGCAATTGACCCAGCTCATTTCAGATCGTTTACTCTGTCCACGATTCTCTCAGAAGAAAATTTGAACTTTGACAGCATCGCCTACCATCCAAAACATGCCCGACAGCAGCAGCCATTCTATTTTTGCCATCTTCCGCGGCCACCCGCACCAGGACCTCGCCGACTTGGGCGAGCAGCACCTGCAGCGGGACTTGAATGCCTCAGATCGCAGACTGTTGCGGGAGGCGGCCGGAAATGTTTCGCTGCACACCACGCTTGGCTCACTGCTCGGACTAGGACTTGGCCTCTGGACGGCCTACCGCATCCGCGCCAACCGCGTCGCTCTCTACAATGCCTTTCGAATAGGCGTAAACAGACCGACCGAGCTGATTTTTGCAAGCGGCCGACGGGGTAGGTGATTGACCGCCCTATAGTGTTGTTCTTGGATAACAATAGAAATGAACACACACAGAACCGGTCCCCGACCTCGAGCCCTATCTTCGGCCTACTACCTGGGGCGACGTGGCTACCTATGCGGCCTTTGCCACCGGCGGCCTGTTTCTGGGAGGCGAGACGGGCTTCCTCACGGGCACGGCGGCGGCCACCCGCACCATCACCAAGGACCCTGCTAGCCGCGCCCGCATCGAGAAGGCTTTCCGCCTGTTCCAAGCTGACATTCTGCGCCGCGAGCTCCATTCGCTCGAGACGGATATGAAAGAAACAGACGAGTGGGCTGCTGATGAGAGCTCGTGGGACAAGCTGAAGAGCCAGGCGAGCGGGTTGGCCAATAGCCTCAAGAGTCACTAGACGGCTTCACCAAGGCTGATGTAAGAGTACTTGAAATACAGAGCCAGATTAGTGTGAGTACTGAAGTAGTGCTTGGGTACATACCTACCTACCTACCTACCTAAGATATCACGGGTATTATTCAACGAAAACTGTAACCACTATAGAATATAAGCCCGTAATTATAAAAATCACGGTAGAGCTATTTATTGCCTCCTTGTATCTTCAATGTCTCTTTGTCTTTTGTGTTCGTGTCAGGTCCTTGAGAGTTGAGACCCACAATACCATGAATTACAAGCGTTTCCCACCGTTTCCACAACTCCGCAACCCCTAAAAACTCGAAGCCAAATCCACATTGGATCTACAGGAAACTCCACATGCCTCCACCAAAGCAAAATTACCTCTTCCAGCCCTACAACTTGCAGCCCATCATCAAACAAATTCAACAGGGTGCGTGTTCTAGTGGTATGATTTTCGCTTCGCATTCATGCAACATGTGAAAGGTCCCCGGTTCAATCCCGGGCTCATCCACACAATGTTATATTTTTGCCCTTGTTTCAATCTTTCTGTCCAAGAGTTTAAATCTTATTTTGTTAAACTCCCACGATTATGAGGCATTAAACAAGAACGAAGTCTTCAACCTATTTTGGTGAGGAGCTAAGACGTGTAACAAAACGGAGGCAGGCAAACCTCTCAATCAAGGTCGTATCAACCACCCCGTTCTCAAATGTAGGTGTGTAACTCGAGGGATTAATAGGTAAGTAACCAATTACATAAAAGCCTGAACGCTGACTGCAGTGTGGACAATCCTTCACATGTTCCAAAAAAAAAAAAAAAAAGGCTCAAATACCTCATTCGTGATTGGCCAACCTAGCTTACACAAACGTGGGGGGTACCCACCTTACCACGTACCAGGCTACCAGCAGCAAGATTGTAACGCTTCTATGTTGATCATATTCACAATCAGATAAGACTTCCAAAGTTCTAAGCTTATCGCATAATCGTAGTCGACTGTGATCCATGACACACACAAAAGAAAACGCCCAAGCACACTACCATTAATCATGTTCCTTTAACCTAGATTCTCTCCAAGAGCCTCAACCACATGGGACAAAACTTTGGGATAATATCATTATATCAAAGACATAATGGACAACTCTAGAGGAATTAATCTTTTGACGGCTCAGCTCCTTTACTACAAAAGCTACTCGATAGGATGATATTCTGAATCCCCTTGCCTTTCATGTACCTACTCCATGAAGGTGGCAAGCAAGGTGTATTCGTCTTTTGCGCTCAGTTAAGCAGAGGCTTTTACAAGCTGCCGGAAGCATTGAAGTCCTTCAGGGCCTCCTCGACACGAGCCTTCATCGTCTTCTCGCCCTCGCGTACCCAGACTCTTGGGTCGTACTTCTTCTTGTTGGGCTTGTTGGCGCCCTCGGGGTTGCCGACCTGAGTCTTCAAGTAATCGAGGTTCTTGACAACGTAATCTCTGATGCCCGTAAGGTACGACCATTGCAAGTCAGTGTCGACGTTGACCTTGACCACTCCATGCTGTATGGTGTTAGCAATTGACAAGCAACCAAAACAGCGGAAACTGAAGAAGAGGCACGATATCTGGGCAAAGTACTTACGCTGATGGCCTCGGAATATTCCTCCTTAGTCGATCCGCTTCCGCCGTGGAAGACAAAGAACACTATAATCAGTTAGCATGGTGCTGTAATCGGGGGATGCTCGGTCCGTAGTCACATACCAGGCTTGGCGTCCTTGCTACCAAGTTTCTCCGAAACATAGGCCTGGTGCTTTCCGAGCAGCTCAGGGTGGAGGCGGACGTTTCCAGGCGCGTAAACACCGTGGACGTTTCTGTCACTCTGTTAGATAATTTAACTTGGTTTTCCAGAGATGAAGAATTGCGTACCCGAAGCCGGCGGCGATAGAGAAGTAAGGGGAGACGGGGCGGAAGGCTTGTTCGCTGCGACGGAGTTAGTTGTCTGTTATTGAAAGAGGGTATTGGGGCGTCAAACATTTGCCAAATGTCCTCGGGCTGGGTGTAGAGGGAAGAGTTGTCGACCTGGAATAAAAGTAAGCGGTTATTCGTAGTGGATAAAAACGACAGGATTTGAAGAATGGACATACACCAGTGTTGTCAACGCCATCCTCCTCACCACCCGTGATGCCGATCTCCATCTCGAGCCACTGCTTCATGGGCGCCATGCGCTTGAAGTACTTTACGCAGGTCTCGATGTTCTCCTCAACAGGTTCCTCTGGTGTAACAAGTCAGTACTTAGGTCGACCAAATAGATCGTGGAATTTGAGACAAAGGGATAGCTAGTGTCGGGAGTGTTTGTTGCCGGGTGGGAAATCAGAAGGTGTAGGGGACATACCAGACTGCGCACACATATATATTAGCATTCGCAAAACGTGATAGGGCGGGAAGAAAAGGAATACAACTAACCAAGTCAATCATGTGAGAGCTGAAAAGGGGGGTGCCGTTCTTCTTGAAGAAGGCCTCATCGGCATCGAGCATGCCATCGAGCCTGAAAGCGCCGTTAGCTCATGGCTTCATGATTAAATAATCTTGTACTCACCAAGGCAGAAGCTTCTTGGCACAATGATCGGTGTGGACTGGTAAACATGTCAGCGCTCGGCTGCCACAGGGCCGCTCGGGCTACTCACGGACGACGGGGACGCCGTAGATGGGAGCAATGGCACGGATGTAGTGAGCGGCAGCGACGGATCCGGCAACGGAGGCCTCGCGCTTCTCGGCGCTGTCCTTGATGCCCTTGCCAGCGAAGTAGGCAGCACCACCCTGAGAAGTCTGCAGACTGTTCACTTGTTATTATTACAGTCTCGAGGGATGATCCGGAAAGGAGAGCGGTCGTACATGATAGCTGAGCCCTGGTCGCGTGCAGCCTCAAGAACGGCGACGACGGTGCTAAAAGTGATGTCAGTACTTGGTCAATTGGACGTTGTGATGGGCGTGGCGAGATGGTAAAACTTGCCTGCTGGAAGTTACGTTGGCGGCGGGGATCGCGAACTTGTGCTCGCGGGCGTATTGGAAGAGCTTGAGGACATCGTCGCCTGTTCATAGCACCAACGATCAGTTTCAGTCGCTCGGATTCGATTTGGGGGACACCAGTTGTACCGTACCGTAGAGAACGCCGGCGGGCAGGTTGAGTTCCTGGAGCAAGCAGAATGGTCAGCGCCAATTGGAGAGAGGGAGAGACAGGCAACGTACAGCCTTGAGACCCATGTTTGCAGTGATGGTTCAAAAAAGCCGGGAATGCGGTAATGTCTGGAGGTGGTGATGATGTTGCTGGTGATGGAAATGGGAGATGATGGCGGGGTAATCCGGAAAGGCGGATATGTTGAGCTAATAAGCAGAGAGGGGAGGATTTGCGGGAATTGGGAAAAAGATAAAGGAAGAGGGGAACGAGGTAGGGCGAATCGTGCTAGGTACCAAAGGTAAGGTAGGAAGAGATTCTGAATTGACACAGCTGCGAAAAGTAGATCCGTAGCGGGAAATTCGAAGAAGGGCAAGGAAGGCACCAAGGTCGATTGACTTGATGACGCTTGATTTTTTGGAGACGACGGCGTCACAGGTGCGGGGTTCATTACGGATTCAACAAAAAAAGGAGCTGGAGCCACCAAGTGGCATCTTTTCGCACCCCCACTTCAGTTGCCAAGTACCCACCTAGGTTGCCCCTCCCTCCATTTCGGCGGTGGTGTCACTGGCGTGAGAGTGAGACACGCTGGCTGGGAAAGCGCGCTCAGTGTTGGCCAGCGGATGGACGCTAGCGCAGACACCTCCACTACCACCAGCCCCTGCATCAGCGAGCCGTCCAGACTCCTCCAGAGCTCACTGGAACTCCGGTTTGGGTTGAGATTTCTCGGGCCGCTGGATTCACCGACGCGTTATTTTCCTACCCCAAGCTGACTGCGACAACGGAGTTCTGTAGGTCAGTTTTACGAACACCAATCTGATGCTTAAAGGTAAATTCAAGGAAAGCACGCCGCGCTCTACTTTCCCAAAAATATTTGCCGACCATGGCGCGCTTTCCATCCTCAGCCGACTGATCCGACTGACGTGCATTGCGATGCAGTGCAATGCACGCACCTCCAGTGCCTTATCAAGCTATCTGGTAGGCATGGGTGGCCACAGACAGTGGAGGTGGGGTTGCCTGTCCAAAACGACCAAGGAGATATATAAAGTCAGCAGGAGCGACAGAAGGAGACCATTGCAGAACTTGCATCGCCCGGGACGGTTGAAGAGGATAATTTGATGCTAAGTAGCTGCCACATTAAGGTGATGGATGGCGCACCAAGGCGTTTGTTTACCTCGGTCCGAGACCAGAATCGTAGCATCGCCGACACCCGGGACAAACAAAGGCCAATGAAAGGCTAAAACATGCACGCCTATCTATGAAACTCCATCTACGACTGGATGTGCAGAAGACGAATAACCTGTCCATATTTATTTGGTTACACACAATATACCAGGCCTCGGCGCATCTAATTTACTTGCCGAAAAACAAGCTCACTGGAGATCATTTGCCATGTCGGTACTTGGCCAGATATCGCCTTGGCAGTCCTCCTACGGCACTTATAGGGGAAGAACCCCCAGCTTGGTGGCTGCTCAGAGACAACAGTGTAGTATCAGTTTTCGTCTCAATATCCTGGTCCCACAAATGGCTTACGTGTGTTATATACCCTTGACGAGACTACCTATCAAGCACTTTGGTGTTGTAATATATGAGCTATGAAGATCTATACTTGCCTATCATCTTAAAAGTTTATTTCTGACCACCTAAGGTGCTCAAGGAATCTCTAACACTTTTTCTTTTTACCGCTGCTGGCTTTTGACCGAGTTCTTTTAACTTTGCCTCCCGGTGCAGCGAAACATAGAATAACGTCTCTTGGCAATCTTTGATCACGCAGACTAGTTTATACGTTCTTGAGGTCGGCCCTGAGTGATATTATACGTACGGACCTGCATTATATCGAGAGTCAGGACCAATGGATTTTAAAGATTCTTCTAATTCAATAACATCACCTTCATTCAAAGCGACTTTGTGACCAACGGAATCTGGTGCCTGTCAGACGAATCCGTGTTTCAACTACTTAGCAATCTACCTGCACTATTTCAAGGTGTATGATACGCTATAGAGTACCAAAATAAACAACCGATATTCGTAGATAAAATGATGTGCAAATCGTCAAACTCCTGCGCAGTCCATGTTCCATGCAAGGTGGTAAAGTGGTAAATACAGGGCTTCCTTGGATTAAACTACCGTCTATGGTGTTGCTAAAACGGAAGGGAATCCACCTTCTCGTTCACACCGCACCGTAAAGATAAGTCAATACATCTATCTTCTCCGCCTAACCCTGATGGTCGCCTCCATCGGCGGTACCCTGTTCAGGCCATACCACTTATTCCGCTCCCTGGTCCCCTTGATCTCCAAATCATACGTCATCACCACGTGGGCCAACATCAGCTTCAGCTCGTTGGCGGCAAAGAACCTGCCCGGACAGGC